GCGTAGGTCAGTGCATATTGCAATCAGTTATGCCTACATCCCGACCTTTCTCCCTGCAGGCTTTTATGTAGAAGAGGCCATCGATCTCGATTCCACCGTTTTCCCTCCCTATGCTAATCTTGAATTCTTCATTGGCAGATACAGAGTGTTAATAGTGCAACGTTCACAATCTTAGTGTTGAATAAGTCTCGGGGACAGGAAAGGTAGTCTTGCACTTTGGTGAAGAAAGTGTCAATCTTGGCGAAGCAGGTAGTGATGAAGTCAAATGCCATCATCCCATCGGTTACGCAAGTGCAATGAGACGTCTACTGAAATCTGCAAGGCACGCAAGATGCCACGGACTGGCGCAGACCACAGCGTCTGGCAGTGGTGTAAAATGGATTGGACAGAAGTTAAGTGGATGGATGATTGGTTGGGTGATTGGATGCCGTCAACGACCTTGGTAAAAGGGGGACGCAGAGAAGGTCGTCTAATGGATTGTCTATTACATGGCACTGCCTCTACAATGCAGTGCTCAATTGTGTGTGGGCTTCAACCCGTAGCACGACTATGCCATCACACTGTATTATCAACTTAAACGGGTTGAATGCGAAGAAGAGCTGCTTTGATATCGTTGAAATGCAGACACCGAGATGGATGGGTAGGTGAATCCGCCGCTGGACTAAATGGGACACAACTGTTCGATGCTGTGCTTACAGTCTCGAGTTGGTGTCAGTTAGAGTTGAAGTCTTCTTGTTAGTCCCTTTGCTTTTTTGCAGCATGAAGTCGGTCAGCTTTCCTGGAGGAGGCGGTAAGCACGCCCATCCCAGTGGAGCATCACTTCTTGAACCTGCTTATAAGGGACGAAACTGACAGCGGATCGTCCACCTTCAAATAGCTATCACAGCCTCCATGCACACAGAAAGGCATTCCACTGACCGTGGTCGCCTGCCGCGTCGTTATGGTGCACTTCGTCAGCTCCTCCCATCCAGCGGAAGCGAAATCTGGAGAAACGCATTTATCGGCTCAGCCGAATGCAAAGCTAATCCATTTGTCATCCAACCACTAGATGCAACAGCTACACACGCTTAAATGCCCGTATACTCACAAAGCAGAGCTGACCAGTAAGTAGGAGTTTCACTACACGTGCAGATTTATGGAGCGATGAGTGCCAATTTTCTCCTCTTTCCACTTCCTGTCCTTAGACATTAGTGGGAGATCCTCAGTCAGCCGATCAATTTGACCGATTTGGCAGGAGAAGTACCAAAACCTGTACTTCACTCTTTCAACTAGTGTTCCTTTACGCAGCACCAGATATTTGTTGTGGGCACCACAATCGCCTGTCCCCTAGTTCGCTTTTTGAACAGGTCAAATGTACAATTCCAGTGGAGGTGATTTGGCGAGAGTGTTTGACAACGCTGTGCTCAGAGAGATTCTTAGCTTCATGGTTAGTTGATGACGGCTATACTTGCATGCTGGAGGGTATTCTGCACCTTGATCACCTCGTAGTGGCAGAAGGTAGCTCTAAGGAGGAGGCATCAATGGGACTTTCACCCACTCACATGTATCCTCTAGGCTGCCTGTCCTCTGGCCCCATGTTCTCGTCTGACGCGTCATCACGACGCACGATGGACTCAGATTGGATTGGCGCGCTACGAATTTAATGTCACTACAATCGCCCTTTGCGCATACCATCAGTTTCCGTAGTGATTGTATGGTGACTTTACCTTGAAGAAGGAAAGTCTTGTATGAATGCAGCAAAACTCGACTCATAGAGTGCAGAACGAGGGCTCGGAAGCGCTAAGCCGTTAATTCACAAGCGCATCCATCAAGCTAATTAACACAAAGTTTCCCCACCTTAAATCACGAATTCAACGCCAGTAAAGATGGGCTTTTAATCAACTCTAGCGGTAATGTTTAAAGTGGCGCAAATTCGATGCTAAGGACTTCCATCTCTGAGGGCTTTGGCCAAATTTAAGCCCACCAGGGAACCCTTCTCATGCAACATGCAGCTCCGCTTTTCCTTCTGTAAAAATGGAAGCCACCACTTGTGTTGTAGGTTGTGCATTTCAAACCTTCAACTTGTAATTTGCACAAGATCTGTGCTTTACAACTTCCTGTTTGGTGTCTTCTATCACTTCAATGAATCGCCTCACTAGTTAATAGTTTTAGCCCCTCTGAGGTGACGTACTGCTCAGCGATTACCTAATTTTTCTGCCCTCATTATGAACGTGTTTAAAAAGCGAGTGTTTCGCAGATTCGAGCGAAACGGATTTGAGCAACCGCCTAACAATCTTTATTCTCTCGGAAGAGGAGAAGCAGAAGAGGAATAAGAAGAAGAAGAAGAAGGAGGAGGAGGAGGAGGAGGGGGAGGGGGAGGAGGAGGAGGAGGAGGAAGTGGACATTAATACCTCCACGTAACTCTAATGGATTGCGATATCCAATTTACTGCGACACAGTGGATTGATCAGCTTCGCCCTTGATTATGCGGACACAGCAAACCATTGGTGTGTCAAATTTTGGACTTCTGCCAACGGTGAGCTTATCCTGCATAATTTTAGTCAAGATTCTATTTGTTCAATTAATACAAACTATCATCGTAGGCATGTGCGATGGCACACACAAATTCACCAACACAGGTGTTCAGTAATAAGGCGACTCACCTATCCAAGCCTCCAACTTCGCATCTGACACCGTCCCATCTTTGCAAGATTTCGATACCTATTAGCCAGTAAAGGGAGCACTTTCCAGGATCACTAATAAGGCCGCTGAGAACTGCTTGAAGCCTTCTTATTTGCTATCCTATTGGTCACCAAAACAGACACACCTACACCGTCTTCTTCTTGCACGAGTTTACGGAAATCCAATACCAGCGATGTGAAATGGGCAATCGTTACGACACTCTTAACTATTGCTTTCTTATACCAACAACAGACGCATCGGAAATGGAGACAAACATTTAGCAACTGTCCGCGGTATGCGTATATTTTGGCGCTCGCAATTGCTTCCACACATCCGTCACTAGGTGCGCCTCACTACATAAACTCAGCGACGTGTTGGAGATGGAGCCATCACTCATGCAAACATTGACATGCGATGTTTGTTCTTGCTAAGCACTGGATGGTAAAGGAACGACTCACTTATCTGATGATTTTTTTGAGATCTTGCGATACAACGACAACTTCACCTGATATCTGGACGACGACAGTGGCAGTGATAGGCAGAGTCAAGATATCAGATGGCTTTTCGACTTGCATATTTCGGGCCACAACGACGCTGTTAGACCATGCGATAAGGTTTGCAAAGCCACGGTGCCATACTCGGTTGCTGAAAGTGAGACGGTGCTTGCAGAGCAGCAAACGCTAATTGTGCAAGTGAGCCTGGATTTGCGAGTGCAGATCTTCCTTCTTCTCTCTCATGGGCGCGTTCGTGTACCTCATCTACTCCTTACAGACTGCTAAGGTTGCCGTCGTAAATACCATTGCCTGCAAACTCCATTAATGTGGGTCTACCATCTGCATGGAAGTGTTGTTTTCGCCGCACCCGACAGCCCATTTTTCTTTGCTCCACAGCAGAATGTGGGCCTCTACACAGCGAGCACCCAGATTCGGCCGTGGTGAGACAGTTCCGATCGAATGATGAATGAAGTTTCATCCTCCTTTTTGGTTGATGCAACCACAACCTGTTACCTACACGGGTGGTTTATTTCAATGAGGTTTTTCTCAACGCATGGTGATAGTGGGCAGCTGATGCACTTTAGCTGATTTTTAAAAATGTGTTCACGTGAGTCTTGCTTGAGGCTGTCGCACTTTACGCTTGGTGTCACCTTTCATGCTGTCTTTCAAGTAGGGAGGTGGTCTGCTTCCTCCTTCCCTGATTGTTGCTTATTTGCACAACCTCTATTGCCGCTATCACCACTGCTCAATATGATGGAGTATCACACGACACCAAATCTCAGCTGACTGCGATTCTCCGGTTGACACCGAATGATGCTCTTTCCCCATTCACAAAATCGTAAAGAGAGAAACTTGCAGGGACGACGAGTACAGGGGTGCAGACTATGCCACTGCACTCCTCTCTGTTGGCACTTCCTTACTGTTACAGCTCTACTTACCAACTGTGTTGCATGGGTGTCGCTAATGGAGGTCTGCACTGGACATGTCTCGCTTTCAGCTGAACGACATCAGCACCTGCGTAGCTGCATAATTGCCTTGGTTCTACTGCCTGGGCTGTGGCCAGGATCATCTCGTCAGCCTTTGACCCATGTGGCTAATCCTTTGCCTTCTCACCTCCTCCCCCATACCCTCTCAACTTAAACTTCCATTCTGTCTGCCCAGCCACTACCATTTACAATACTTTTTTTCTTTTCTTCGACCTATTCATTTCACATTACATCTCAAATTTACGTCTCCTTTTGCCTTTCTTAGTCTTCACCAGACCTTTTACACGTGAGGTTTTCGATTGTTGCAGCCCGTAGTGTGTGGTTAAACAAAAAAACATGTGGTAGTGTACGTTTGATTGTTGGTTGTCCGAAGAATGCTGCTTCAGTCATGTTGACTACGAATAAGAGCGTCCAAGAACAACATTGTTGAAGCTGCTTGCAATGTCTACTTCAAAGTCGAAGTGCGTGCATTCTGTTGCTGTCACGAAGAGTGTAATTTAATAATCGACCCACCTCTGCAGTGCGGTGAGGGACGGACAACCCACTACCTGATGAAGGAGGTGTCAGTCAGCACTAAGACCTTGCCGAGTTTCGTTGTTCACACGTCTGCGTGTGCAAGGGATTGCTGACTGTACAGCATTTCGTACATGGAAGAAACCGACTAACCATTTTCGCCTGACATCTAAACAATCGCCTTCCTACCGGTCGTTTGAGCATCTGAGGTCAACACAACTGAGTTTATGAAAAACAATATTGTTTTGTGGGTGTGCATGTGATATTCTGTCAATGCACCTATTCACGGTGTGTCTCCTATCTGCAGACCATGTATGCTAGCCTAAGTAGACTTCCAACAACAGATATGACGCTCACCTCGTCAAAGACAAAATTCATGTATGCAATCATCTGTCGCTCTGTGTGATCTTGTGCATGGCGTCGAGTAGGTGGAATGGGTTAGTGTCACTATACTCTATGTCAGCTACAACACTAACTGCACGCACTAGCTAACCGACCAATCAATCAGTGAAATGTTGCAAACGCATGTTTCAAAGTTTTAACACGTCAGTTTTGTGGTTTCCAGGTCAATTGCATACGACATGTTCATGGAGAGCCAACACGGAAGAGCAGCTGAGGGTAGTGGAAGGGAGTCGAACCCACTTGGTCGATCAGTATATTTCACTTTATCATCTCATTCATTTCTAACTGTGACAGAAGACCGTCACCCCCTTCACAGATTCCCACGGCGACGAATGCTATTGAAGATATTTTTCCCTGATTGGTGCCGACTTTTTGACTTTAATTAACAAGAACCACCCAAATAAGTAAGTGATAATCCATCGTATGGCTACCCGAATGCGTCTTCTAGAAAACAGGATACTAGATAGTAAGAGGGTGAAGAAGAGAGGCGTTTATTGTTTCGAACATCTCTCCACCTTGATTGCCAAAGGACAGCCACATGTCTACAGTAGCACATGAAATCCATCTCCCTTGAAACTTCCTCCCATCACTATCGATCCTCCCTCTTCCTCACTTCCATTATGATGCACTTGCAGCGTCACATCAAGGCTACGGATGATAAGGAGGAGCATCTTTGGTCACCTCAGTGGGATAGAAGTGAAGGCGATGTGAAAGTGGGGTTGGAATATGATCTAGTCGCCTATCTCACCTGTTCATACCTTTGATCAGTTTTGCATAAGGCTGAGAAATGATTGCACTTGCCACCGCTGGTGGACCCTATCAACTGCAGTCTCGCCATTCACGCTCTTGCCAACGACGCTGACGCTGTTGATGCAAATCAAATTAGCGTTCAAGCCAGTAGAGGCAGAGTATGTTGGTGCTAAGACCGAGCTAAATGGTGGCTCGGTAGGTGAATGGGTGGATTAGGAGGAATAAAGGGTGTGAATAACATCAATATGGTAGAAGAGTCATCTTCTCAACCTTGACTGTTTTGGTTCTCCCCTCTGTTAATGACTTGAAACTACCCCCAACTTTCCTTTTCAACGAGTACAGCGAAAATGAAAACTACCGTTAACTTCAAATCATTTGCCCGAAGATATGGACGACCATCAAAGCATCACTGGATTTAGTCGGCTGATAAGAAATATTCCGGATTTTAAACAGCATGGCACGGATCGACCCGTTTATTTTTGCTACTGCAAAGATTTAGATAGCATTGTTCAAATCATACCGCGTCCGTGGTCGCAAATTCGTACCAACAGTTGCATGATTTTGTTGTCGTTGTTGACGATATTTTTTGTCCAGTCAACCGGCCAATCGGTCATGCGACAAGTATTTTGCATCGTATCAAATTAAAAAGATAAAGCCGTAATTACTAGGCAAATAAACCCATAATGGTTGGTTCGATTGTCAAACCATGCTCACAACAGAGTCAGATGGCCTTTAGGAGGCGCAGATGGAAAGAACTGTACAGTTACAGTACAAATGCAAAGTTTTTGCTATGAGATACCGTGTTTGATGGAGGTGGATTCATTACAATGTTGTGCGACGTATGATATGGAGAAGTGCTTGCGATAGCCGCTTACAGCAAATCGTGTTAATGAGTTCATGATGATGCTTATTTATTGATGCCTGGCCGCATAGAAATGGAATTCATTGAACATTCTTATGCCTATGAGCGAAAGAAACGGAGAGTTATTTGATATGCCACCTCGTGACCTCGACATACTAAGCCAATGTCCTACTTGTAGCACGTTCGCCTAGTAAAATGGAGTGTGCGTGGGTCTTGCAAAGCGAACAGTGGTATAGTGAATGTTAGATGACTTTGACTGGCACATCAGTCTTCGGGCATGAGTGTTCTTTTGTGCTTCTGTTCGGTAAGTTTCGGAACCGGCTGTTGGAGGCAAATGGATTTTGAAGAGAAGCACAAGGAGATCGTGCGTACTCACCTCTCCTCCGCGGATCCACGTTTACCTGTTGAGAAGGCGACATAAGGCAGACAGCTCCGCTTTGCACAAACTAGGATTATGTGACCTGAATAAACTTTATAAAGTGGATTGGACTAGCTATCCACTTTCGATTGCCGGCATGTCATTTTGGTGATGGTGGTAGTAGTAGTAGTAGTAGTAGTAGTAGTAGAAATTTCTGGAAGGCAAAAAGGAATCCACAAACGATGCCTTTGCGTAGGAACGTCATTACCAAAGTAGCCAAAGTCACGATGACGTGGTTGCAATGATGAGAAAGGGCTTAGTTCCGTACATTAATAGTGAAAGGCGTACAAATCTGGTCTCACTTTTATTGTTACAAGGACTGCATTACCAGACCACTGACTGACAGCCACACATTACGCAATTGTAGTGATCTGAGACGGTTGAAGGTTGATGAAGTGGACATATAATGCATTGATGGATGCGTATATATTTTGTGAAGAGAAAGGGTAAGTAATTGATGGCATGGTTGGAAAGTTGATCCACGCTGAAAAGGCCAAAATGCATTTTAAGTGCTTAACACAACCGAATTGTTTCAATTACGTCTGCAGATAGTGATTCTGAAGCTCCTTGCCATCTTAAGAACGATTCAAGGCGCTGCTGGATGTTGGACGGTAATGCTACATAAGTGATGCAATGCAAGAAAATTAAAATTTTGTCACTTCTCGGTATGATTATGCAGTCACGACGATGCAGTTGCATGCTTTTTATTGGTTGTTTGAAAGTATAAAAGCATACTGTTAAAGTGGAATTTGATACTACTACCCCCTCTAGCTTCGATTCGATTTTCTGCCACAATTCTGTGGCTGATGATGGTGCATTGAGATCGTGGTGCCCCCCAAATAATAACGCATAAGACAAAAGACCAACGTAAACTCGATACTGCTCGCACCAAATTATTTGGTTGCCCTCATCTTAGTGGGCGATAGGCACAGAAGTGTTGCTTTTGTGAATGAGCATATAAACAGGTTTGGATGACAATGGCTTTTCGCACTATGCATAATCCACATGGCCTATTTTTTAACTCCATCTGCCAGTAGCAACACTAACAAACCTTTGTCTTGCTAAATTTTTCCCAACTCTAATAAGGCTTAGCAGAAGGCGAGAGCAAATGCTACAGTAATTTACAGTGTCTTAACATTCTCTCTCCCCTAGATCCCCTGTTTGATGGTTGCAATTTATGTCATGCATCCACCTTTGTTGCAACATAACAATGGCTTGACAGAAAATCAGTCCCCTTTTGGCCCCATCCATAACCATCTTTTCGTGTTGCTCATTAAATAACTCTTAAGAAATCACTTCTGATGTGACTGCGTCCTGTTCAGAGGCGCCGTGTTAGCAGCTGCCGCCCTTAGTCCATGCACATGCTCACTATTCCCAATGCTCAGTGCCAAACTACTGAAGGCTAGAAAACAGCTTTCGTCCAACTTACCGATCCCATGATAAGAAGAGAATATCAAAAACGTCTACCAGAAAAGTAAGCAACGAACCCGCCTTTAAAACCGATTGAAGTACACGGAAGGCTATTCTTCCACATCACCACAGACACGAGTAAGAATTGATAAGATCTGTAGTAGTATCATTGTATGTAAAATTAAAACAGAACAAAAATACTGATAAATACAAGTATCACAAGCACGACAAGGAATGCGACGAAATGGCCATTACAGACAAAGTCTTTCAGACTCCCCCGATCCCGACACATTTTGGTCATCGGGGTCGTCCGAGATGCTTTGGAAACCTAGCCTCTTGGAAATACGTAGAGTAGTGGCTGAAGCTGCCAAACCTGAGGCCCATTCTCTTGCGGAAGAGGAGGGAACAACAGAGGCGATGAGATTGGAGCCGACCTTCATGCTAGAAAGAAGTCGGTTGGAAAGGAAAGAGGTCTTCGTGTTGCTACAGTCGACGCAGTCTGTGTAACCGTCACCCAGACGTTGCTGCTCATTAAAGCGGCTGAGTATTTCAGTGTGATTAGTCTCTAGGACCATTCCGCCGCAAATAATTTCGTTGAGAAGATGATGTACCTATTGCAAACGAATTAATCCGTTGAAACAGAAGTTAAGAGATTGTCAGGTTACCAACCTTATCAGCATTAAAGATTAGGTCCAATTCACAGATATTCTCAAAAGTTTTGTCCAACAAGTCAACAAACACTTGGATGAGATCTAATATCCCCAATTCACTCTCGGCAAAGTCCACACAGAAGATTATGTAAATGCTGGAGTACCGCCTGTAGACAATTCGATATAGGTCATGTTCCCTATAAAAATTTGCAAAGCACTATAAAAACCAACGTAGGAGCTTCAAGGAAATTGCAGGAGCTATTAGCACGCCTATGGAGAAGGGAGTACGCTTCGCGAAGAAACTCTGCTTTCTCCTTTTCTGTCTAAAGATTTACTGAAAATGACCAGCAAATGACTTACGGTTTCGTCGTAAAACTTAATAAGCCGTGGCTTTCCACTGGTATTGCAAATAACCACACCCTTTATCATTAAATTGCAACGACTTTTACGTATTCGAAATGCGAGCGCGGTGTAAGGTCAGCAATTCAACTATTATAGTCCACCCAAAAACTACTTAAAGAAATAAAAACACCACAGCATTTTTTACCTATGCAACCGCGTGCGAGTAAACCGCCTCGTACAAACATAAAAGCTGCGTTTCCTGTGAAGAACTTTTAAAAAGGAAGCACTTTGGTGCGAGTTCCCCACGGTTTGAATAAAAGCATTATTTTTAGTTAATGTGTATGTAAAAAACACTTAGTAAGTACATTAATCTGGTTCTTATATAGATTGTCTTAAGAGAAAATGAAGAAAATGTGGTAGCTGTAGAAACTGCCCTCCTAGCCTCATGCTTTTGAACCACGGACTTCAAGGGAGGATTAGTCGAGGTAGATTTATTAGGCATTGATTACAGTAAAAACGGGGATAGGAGTATGTAGCGTCTCGAGGCTTCCAATGGGGTAGTAGAAGGCATAAGTGGGGTTGGATACATGTATTCCGAAAGCAATAGGAGAAATGGGGCCTGAGCGTGGCCCGAAGGCCAGCCCACGTGTACAGGGCCCAGAAAAGTCCTAAAGTCCGCCAAACGTCAGATAGTCGTATAAACAAAGCATTACAGAGTACACTTGAGCCGAATGACAGACATCACTTGGAGAGGGATTCCTCACGATCCTCACGCCCGAGATTCGCGTTCAAATTTGGTTCCCGCCTTTATGCTACAAAAATCAGCTTAAACGCTCTAGTATATAAAACAGTAGCATCCTGAAAATTCCATCAAGTAAAAAATACACGTGTTTACGGAAAAAAGGGAGATCGGGTAATGTCTTGGCCCATGTGTAGAGTTGCAAAACTTCGCGCTGGGTAAAGGAAGACGGTAAGTGAATATTTTGCATGTATCCTAGGGAGCACAAAGCAACTAGCCTTAAGCACTGCCTAAAGGCCAGCACACGAGTATAAGAATTAGACTTATCTAAAGTGACCGCTAAACGCCTGATGGTCACACAAATAAAGCATTACACACGTGCGCAAGAGCGAATCAGGCAGCAAATGGATCGCCAGTCATAAAGAGTACCAAAAGACCAGATGCTACTCTAGTACCTACGACCCTTCTATTAGGCTCATGTACTTCTGTTTTCACAATTATAGGATTTTTCTAAGTATCCTACTTAGAAATCTGCTATATAATACAGGGAATATGGGTATGGTCAAGGCAAGTTTGCAGCGTTACGGGATCCGTGTTGAGTGACTGCTCACCCCTGTAAGGCAACTTTTAACAGTTGTACTTATTACGCTTACGACTGTAAATTGAAAAATTCAATGTTACATTTTCTGGACATCGTCAATGGCTTCATGTACTCTTTAATTAGTGAAAAGGGGTTGAGTTAAGGCTCTGGTATAGCTTGAAGACCAAATAACACGGAAGAAGCAAGAGGCCACGAGGGTTACCGCCGTTTATGAATGCTGTAATACTTTGTTTTTGTAACCACCTGATGTCTAGTGGTTACTTTAAGATTTGCCTAGCTCTTCGACGCGTGAGTCGGCCTTTGGGCCATGCTCAGGCCTAGTACTCAGCTCCACTCAATGGGAAGTCTCCGGATGTTGAAAATGCAGACACCTAAACAAATTATGATTATGTGGGGTAAAATAACGTGGCTGAACACTTTTGCTATCACGTGCAATTAGCTTCTTTGACTCCCTCTAGACCTAGACATTAACTGCAAATCACACTTTGTATTACTTCGTTTAGGTGACCACCCGATGTCCGGTGGTCACTTTGGAATTTATCTGGTCTGGTCTTTTGTTTAAGTCCAGACTTAATTTGGTCTTCTCCCCCTAGAATACATATTTTAAGCCTCAAATAACGTCTTGTCCTACCTGGTGAGAGGTCTCGGGGCAGTACTCAAATCGAACAGTAAACGAAATTGGCGAACAGGATAGCTCGAAGTGTTCACCAATTTTATCGAGTCGATGCCCAGCTATTGGAGTTAAGAGATAAGTTGTAAGACGCTTCTTGTATAAATCCAGGTATTTTCTGATGGAAATAATTCGTGTACTTATCTTGCTTACTTTTAAGCTTTCCTATTAGATTGCACGGAAATCAAAACGTGAAAGCACGGAACCCCAACGATTCCTATTTTGGTCAGGTGTAGTCGGACAGACACAGACACATAGCTCTAAGGTCTAGAGCTAGACGCAAAGTCTTGACAACCCTGGACCCACTTCCCACTTCCAGTCTACCTTAGTGCCGCTTGCATGTGACACTTCAGGTGGTCAGAATACTGCCCCTGCCTCAAGTCTATTCTCTGGGTGGAAGAGAAGCTCAAATTCAACAGAGTAAGCGAGGTTGATGCTAAACATCGACCCATTCGGGCAAACATTCCACCCCCAACGCAAACCACCAATTATGCTGAGCCCGGTAAGGTGAACAACAAGAACGACCCACGATAGAGGAACACAGACCGTAAAGTGTTCTCCAGCCACTAATTTGGATTAAAGCTCCATTGTGACCCGCGTAGGTGGCGGAGTCTCTGCTCCACCTCTTCCCTTGCTTACGGTGAACCTTAACCCTTTTGCGTGTCCACAACGCGGATCCAGCGCAAGTTCCATATCTTCTTTCCCTTTCACAGAAACCACAAAGAGGGACGCGCATCAGAAAGTCAACTCGAATAACTGGTGTAGTGAAGCCGAAGTCATAACCTTTATTGAAACAAGGAAATGTCAGGAGCGTATCTGATTTTGTGCAATTTGCACATTCCAAATACCTAGTTTTGTTCCATTCTTGGCAAACATGATACATATGAATGCGCACAAGCATGATAAATGCGGAGAAACGTAGGGATTACAAAGTTATTCATTATTATTCTCCCCTAGCGTGGGTTCAATTTTTCGCACAATCGCAGACCAGTTTCCCTGTTCATATACACTTTCAACAAGTTCTAGGCAAGACACTTGAGCAATCAGGTTTTCTAGTTCACCAGTCTCAAAAACATGGTAGTAGCGCATTAAGGCAACCTTGTTTGGAGTCTCAACTGAAAGAAAATGTGCATTACCACATAGTCTTTAACCACTATTATCTGTTCAATAGTTGAAATCAACCAACCTTTCTTATTTACTGCATTCCAAGGTAGGAGAACATCAGTTGCAACAAAGGGAGTGCGCAATTTTTGCAATGGAATTTTACCACCTCCTGGAACCGCAACTTCCTCCATAACAACCCCCTCTGTGGATTCAAATTTCCCACTTTTGAGGTACATTGTCGACTTTCCTTTCCAGTGTTGATCTTTCGCCCAAACTTGAATCAGGCCGAGACCACCACCTTTCAACAATGAAGCCATTGATTTAATACCATCTAGACGGCGCTGTGGCGTTGCCAAGTGATGCAAAACAGCTACACAGATAAAGAAATCTAGTAAACCAGAACGATAGGGAAGTGCGAGAAGGTTGGCAGCAACAGCGTCGAAACCTCGACCCCGAACATGGTCTAGCAATCGAATGCTAGTATCAGAAGCAAGTAGGGGCGAAAGCAAAAGATTATTCTGAGCTACAGCGACAAGATACTTTCCATTGCCACAGCCAATATCCGCACCCCACGAACCCGGAGGAAGAGATTTTAAGAAGCGCATTACGCCCGGCCAAGGAGCATAGCGGGAATCACTGAAGGACCCGGCGATTGTGTCATAGACCTGAGGAAGAATAGAAATGTTTAAAAAAGTGAGAAGGTCTTCGTCCAGAATCATGATAAACTCACCTCGTGGACGCATTGGCGTTCTAGTTCAGGAGCATTTATATTACCCGAGAAAGAAGAATCCTAGGGAGGTAATAGATGCACACACCGCAATAAAACCACTACATACATCTTAGTAAAAATCGTTCCAGCTTTATGGAACTGTGAGCGATTTCCAAGGGACTATGTCTGAGTTAAATTCGGTATGAGAAGATACTAAAAAAGAGAGGGGCAAGTAGCGGACACTGAAAAACTGATCTATAGATCATTTCAAATAATGCTACAAAGCCAGCTTAAAATGAACACTGTTTGAGAGGTGATTTCATTGCACAAACAAAACAACATGTAGGGCACACGCCCGCGAGCATCAAATAGATTGCACTAAACACGATTAAGTAAAACTAGTATTCTCGAAATTGTCCATTATACATATTTTAGCTTAGCAATTGGAAAGTGCATCTCAATACTTGACAGTTTTGAAATGTATTTAATAAAAAAGCAGCACATAGTACGTATATCGTTCAAAAATATTTGATCCAATGTTTTGGTATGTGGTGTTGCAGGACTAACCTCCTCTATGTCTCCTCCCTTAACCTCGTCACAATGTAGATACAGCCTACCGGGGGCGTGGTTCCGCTAAGATATACGAGTCAGTGCTAGGACTCGTTCCCGCACTTCAAGTCCACAGCGCTTGAATTGATGTCCTCCTAATAAAACACAATTTATGCAACTATTACGTGTAATGCTTTGTTTACGTAAACGTCTTACATTCTACGGTTACTTTGGCATTCGACTCTGCTCTTATACACGTCGGTTGGCCTAATCCTTTCCTCTCCACTCATGAATATATTTAAATACCCAACGCAATGCTTTCCGCATAGTGGAGGTTCTAGAGGCGCTACAATATGTACTGTGGCGTCCCGAGACTTCCTAACTGGTATAAGAAGTCGGTAACTGCAGCTGGATACATGTATTCCGAAGTTGACAGAGCAAATGAGCCTGAACATGGCCCAAAGGCCAGCCCACTTGTACAAGGGCCAGACAAATCCTAATGTGACCGCCAAACGCCAGGTAGCCACATAAACAAAGTATTACATATACTACAGCTGGAGATTTTGTTTGCGCACTTCTTTACATCACCTCCATGTAAGCAAAGGTCTGTAGATAGCTGAGAATTTAATAGTATGGTAAGTCTGCATTGACACGAAAGATTATCGGCATAAAGCAATTAAAGCTTTCACTTTTATCGGATGCTCCTCTGCGTTCAGCTTCCGGGAATTTAATTGCGAGAATGCGAATCAATATCATGATTGAGCACCATGTTTTGGCCAACAAGACGTCGGCAAATTCATCTACTTACTTATATTACGATCAAAAACATAAAAATTGAGCATCCTGACTTTGCGTTTAACTGAGATGCATAATCTACTTCAGAGGTGATAATCTTCGTAGTTACACAGAAAACTGAGAGCTAAGATTAACGAAATCTTGTATTTATCAAAGTGAGAAGTGCATGTTTATTTTTACATTAATTGCTGATCAGTGATGAAAAGAGGACGATATCCAAGGGGAACGCGATTAATCAGTGTAATGTTCTAGTGGCGCACTCGAGCCCGTGTAAGCCATGGACGTCTTCACTCCTTATTTCATCTGCAGTCTGATGGTATGGTTGGCACTACTATATGATTGTCTGATGCTTCAAGAAGGGCTCCACCTATCAAGTTGTCTAGCGATAACTCGTATACTATGGTAGCACACACTTTATCCCACCGAGACTTCCCAATTGAAAGAAGAAGACAGTAAGTGGGACTAAGTGCAAGCATTTTAAGCGGAAAATGAGAGAATGGGCTCTGATTTGGGCCAAAGATAAGCTCACGTACAAAAGAACAAGACGAATACCAAAGTTACAGCCAGTTATACATGCAACCACATAAACAAAGTACTGCACGCACCTTGGTGAAGTGCAAGTGCGTTGCGTAAAGGGCAAGAGAACAATATCTGGACAGAATAAATATGTTTAACAATGACCAGAGCCCAGAGACTAAGCCTTGAGAATACTGAAGCCTTCTGGTGGCTCATTTATGCTAACGAGTACTGAAATAACAATCGCCCTACTACATTAAAATCCATGCGAGGATTTCGTTGCCACTCAAAATGCATCTAACCGACCAAAAAGTTTCACAATTTACCGCAAAACATCACCAAACCCTTCACAGAAATCGACTACACTCTAACCACGGAACACACCCAATTTGCACATGACAGGTGTGAGCAAACCTATGTTTAGGCGAACTCCATGAAGAAGAAAACATGGTGTGGAGGTCATTTCTTCTTAATACGCAGTATGCTGGAGGATCAATTTAAAGCGTTCAGCTCGCTCTCACATGCTTAATATTTTCTGATTTACCATCATTCTGTTCATAACAGTCGAAGCGTTTGCAAATGTACACTGTCTGTTTTAGCGTGTGTAAAGGTGTCTAAAAAATAAAAGCATTCGAAGTCCACTATGATTTTAGGACGGCGACTGCCTCGATTTCAACTAGAGCATTCTGAAATAATCATGAAATCATGCAACAGCTATTACCTTTGGTAAGGCTTTCACAGAGTAGCAGGCTCGGGCAGGATATGGATAGGTAAAATCTACAGACCAGAATCGACAAAGAGGATCGAATTACACTTAGCATAGATCTTGTTAACGGTTTCAAAGTATTCCATATCCGTTAGGAGGATCGTGGTCTTCACAATGTCCTTCATTTCGCCTCCGCTTTCTTTAACAATGTTGGATAGGTTCATTAATGCCTGTTCCGTCTGATGATCTATGGAAGGTCCGGCAAGTTCCATTGTCGATGGATTTGTACCAAGTTGACCTGAGATATACAATGTTTTGGCTGCAAGAATGGCCTGACTGAGGTTTTTTTCTCATCGATGCCTTAGCGACAAACCTGTATGGTCCGATGGCCTTTGGAGCCATGGCACACGAAACGGCCTTGTGTATAAGGCTCATAGATTAGCGAACAATACGTAAATTGTGCAAATTATGGGAATGTGCACATCAGTTAAAACAAGTGCATATTAACAATAAGGGCTAAGAACATACTCAAGCGGCTGGAATGGCATAGTACTTCATGAAATTACCATTTAACTGGGGAATGGATTAAAAATGGTTTACATAATTAATGGGAGATATAAAAGTGGCTTATGGCGATTAAGCATGGGGTAGGCATTGCTTGAAATTGCTTAAAAGTTTAAGCATCGGCGTAATACGTATCGGTTATTTTAAGTGTGTGTTTTATAATAGAGGGAGAAAATAAATATAAACGGCGTGTGAGCGGAGTGACAGTACTCTTCGCTGAACTGAATCAGAAACCCATTAATCGCACTCTTTAAGATTGCACCTCAATCGAAATACGTAATAAATCGCCGTGAAGTAAACTTTTAGCCTTCTAAAACTTCCAATGACATTAAATTGGGCTGAATGCCTGAGCTTGGTCCAAAGGCCAGACATGTGCCAAAGTAACCACCAGACATTAGATAGTTGCATAAACTAAGTATTACGATCCGCCTTTTAAGAAGAAAGAGATGCTGAATGTGGGCTGCAGGGAGGAAGACGTGACAATAGTTGTTTAATGCTCTGAAGTAATCGTAATGTTTATGGTTTTGGCAACACTTTCTTATTAACGCAAATAAAACTATAACTACTAAAAGATGGAATGATGCTGAACGTTTAAAAGTTCAATAGGCATCATTATGACTTCTTCATTTACTGATATTAAGTGGATTATTCCCAGGGCATTTTAGTTACTTAATCCACTAATTGGTACGAGAATATCATTAAAATGACTCTCCTTTAACGCATATGAAATATTTTATTGCTATATAGGTGCTTCGTGCATATGTTTGTGTTTTATTAAACGAATAGGTTTGTGAATATCAAAAAGCGGCGATGTCGTATGGCTCTGCACCTTTTGGGGATAGGATGTATCCGCAGGTAGGCTTATGTTAATTTGCCCTTGTGGTTCTTCCTCGGATATTTTAACTTGGTCATCTTTAAATATGTATGCTTTTAACTGCTTCGAAGGTTTCTTTGTGATGTAGCATTGAAATTGTAAAGTTGATATTTTAGGTGCCTAATGAAGGAATGCGAATTCAGCCAGATTGGGACAAAGCCATACTGTACGTTTGCTTTTTCGATGCCATAAGAGTTATGTGATTTATTGTCTCTCACTGATACTGGCCTTTAATAAACTTAGAGAGAAAGATAAAAGTTTTTGGTTTCATCTCTACGGGTCTGACGGAACTCATCATCAGAAAGTTGAAATCAATGAGGCTATGCTCACTCCTGATGTTTCAGGTGTGGACTGCTGCGTCTCTACGCCGGTAGGCATCTTGATAACTCGGGAACTGTCCTCACTTTGCCTAGAAAACTATTCGCCTCAGAGATAGTGTTCGACGCCTTCAGAGTACCTTCCAATGCCCAGATTTTAGGTTTAGCTCTGTCCATAAGCAATCCCGGCAGGTATAATTCGAATTACTTTTGATTTCTTGGTGCAAACTTGACTGCTTTAGTACAACCAAAATAACTTTTCTGTTCTTTTAGTCACCTCTTCATCTGAATTCCTTCGATGTGAATGCCAGCGGGGAGCTGGCAGTATCAGCCTCTAGCGATGGAAGTGTTTTTTTATGGGAAACCAAAACTTCGGAAATTCGAGTGAGATATATTTACGTGTCTTATTGGGCACCTACTTTTAGAGCATTTCAAATATCTCTGGTCATATATTTGCTAAAGCCAGAAACAAAATACAAATATTTTCTTGTTCACTAATATGTGCATTTAAGACGCTATTAGCAACTGAGCCCGTCTATAAATCATCTCGACACAAGCAATGAATATTTTGCTCTCAAATTTCTTGTGAGTAGAGGCGAATGCTTTTTCCAAGGTCTTTCGATTCTTTAGATAAACTAATCTACGGCTGGTCAATTCTCTTATTTACAACTTTGATTTTGCGTGTTTGCAATGGGGAGGACTAACATTGGGGAATTTCTTACTCATATCCCGTACTTATTTAAGTAAAATGATGGTATCGTGGCTTTCGGGAGACGGGCACGCTATAATAAAAAAACTACCCGGTATCAGCTCCTCGGATTCGAATGCGTATCTCACTGAATTTGACGTCATTTTAGTCATCCTCTTTTCCTTCCGAAAGCGGAAATTCGTGGGACATGCAAGCGAAGTCTACTGCTGTCGTTTCTTCCCCTCTGGTCTAGTCGTTTTGACAGCCGGCGGGGATATGCAGTTGCGTGTGTGGTGCGCACTCACCGGGGCCTGTGCAGCTACACTCCGTGCTGGTTTGGGCGGCGTTGACACTACCTCTGTTAGTTCCCTGACCAATTTGTCCGACTCACCTGTCTCTGAACCAGGTGGACACAGAGCAGGAGTGGTTGACGTTGGTTTTATCGACCGTGGAAGGAATATCGTCGCTGTGGATCGTGGAGGGTGGTTGCGCCTTTGGGATGTGTCTACTCAGGTATGCGAAATTTCTTTGGCCTTTTGTTAGGAACAATCTTTACAATAGCATTAATAATCAGACAGTTGGGTGCATTCGAGTACTAGAAAGTATCTGATCGTGAGACAAAATTGGTGCGTAGGAAGATTGAAACATGATTGGGTTTGGTTAAGTGTTCCTAGTCTGGGACCTCATTTGGAGCAGAGCCAAAATTTTCCTCATTTAATGTTGCATTGTCCTGGTTGTGGTCATCTGGAATGGACCAACGAAAAGTAGAGACAAAAATGCAGCCACACGTAGCTTAACAGCATTATTTTAGGTGTCTTTGGTTTGACAGGAACCCATGAAATGTAATGGTTGAAAGCATATTTACAAGGACCAGGAACGCTTTTTTCCGATTGACATTTTTTTGTGCACTAAAAAACATAATCTTACGAATGTTACTTAGTGACAACAGTGATTCTTGCTCAGCTGAAGCATTAAATTTATTTGCTATAGTTTTTCTGCAAATGAAGTTATCTATGAACATCTAGATTTCCAGATCCCATTAAGAAAAGGGGCTTCATGGTTCTGTAGAACTTGAGCAACTCGATCCGAGGGAAATCTGATCCTCAACTGACCAATGCCCATGTTGCAGAGCCATCTAATAAGTCACGACCTAGGCATACTTCTCTTCACAGGTTGCTATCTCGGCAATGTCTGTGACACCGCGGTCGCCAAGGTCTGCGTCTCAGGCGAACTGTCCGATGGAAGAGGCGCCAACTTGTTGCGTCGTAAAGCGTCGTGTTTCTCCTGACGAAGCAACTGGAGACAAAACTGTTGAACCAACCGAAAGTTATTTCGGTACTTATTCCTTATTTCTACTGTAATTACTCTATACTTTTGTCTTAGAACTGCACTTCTCTTTCACCATCTTGTTATTTTGAAGGTGTGATAAATCAAAACACCACAGAAGTGGTTACAGTTTGCGTGACACCAGTTTTCCATTTAAATAGTTGGGTAGCCTAGGTTTTGTGTAGCTAAATACGTTACCACTTTTTTTTCAAAATGTGCTTCCTTTGACAGCCGTTAACTTGTGTACTGTCACGAAGTCAGTTAAGTCTTCTATTTGCCTGATTACTATCTGAAGCCGTTTGCTACTGGTAGGGGTATTTGTTCAGGTTACCTAACCCTTTGATAAACATTGTTCTATTTCAGTTTGCGACTGCTAAACATTTCAGGGCTTCACGGTTGTCTATAGATTGCTTGAAAAGGCATCTCTATTTCAGTGTTTGGAATTACTTTGACTACAACTTCAGTACTTTTTTCCCATATCTTTTCTTACGCTGTTTGAGGCGATTGGGACAAGTCTGCGTTACTTTGATAGTCTCTTGTCTAAAAGCTTCACCCAATCTGGTTGAAGTGATTGACTATTTGGAATGATTTTGTCTACTGCCATTGTCGGTAAAGCGCTGAGAAATCTGTTGCGAAAGAACCAAGGTCAATCGTTGTTTTGCCACAAAATATCCTTGGACTGGACGGTTTGCTTGTCTACTTTGGTCGAGAATTTGTCTTCGATCAGGTCTTGAAAGCACTTCGACTCGCGCCTCAGCCGTCGGCGTGACAGACAAGCTAGTTGCCGTCGGTTGTGGAAGCCATGGACGCATCCTACTTTTCGACATCACCTCTGCTCAGTCTCGCAAACACGGGCCAGCTCTCCAACTCGCTCTGCCCTGCGCTTCCGGTGCCGTCACAGCTTGTGCTTTCTCCATGGCGACGGATACTTACGAAGGTGGCGTTTTCAATGAGTTCGGCTTGGTTGGCGGTGGTTCGAGTGGGGAGATCACATGTTGGGACCTAAGAAAGTGCAGGTACTAAGGCTATGTTGCTCAAGCAACGCTTACGGTAGCGTTTTACGAGGACATTTAACAATTTGCGATTATAGTACCCCGTTATTCACTTACGAGGCCTACAAGTACGGCGTCTGCGCTTTGCGATTGGTCAATTTTCCGGCTCATTCAATGGACTTGGTGGGAGGGGAAACCGTGTCTCTGCCCGCATTTACCGGCATCTTTTCTGCTTTCCGTATGTTGTTATATTTGATCTCTATTCGTGTGCTTACTACTTTTGAATGACAATGGCACAAACCGAGGTGTTAACACGAATGCGCATCTCTGAATGTCAACCACTTTAACTCAAATCAGAGCGCTGCACTTCCTTCCATACATGGTGAATTTGACCTCAAATTATTTTATTGCTGATTAAAAATGGATCGAGTTCAATGAATATTGCTTTAGAAGGTGTACTTTCTTGTCTCGGATCCTTAGGTGACGGTCGTACAGTCTTGCGTCGGATGGGCCAGGTTGAGTCCCCCTTTGACAGAGACGGCTACTCTCGATGTCTTGAACTGACCGGTCCGGAGGTGGAGGCGATTTGTGGACTTTGTATACACAGCAACACCAAAAACCTTTCTGTATGGACTAGCACCTACAGCGCACAATTTTTTGGCTACCGTCGAATCGCTCTTGAAAGTCTCTTCAATTTGTAATAGTTTTTAAAATATTTTTAGAAACTGATTTTAGCTTTATGCCAGATTGGTGCCTATAAATTTTGAGCCATTATGACCGCAAAAAACCTCGATAGCTCCCGTGAAGCAAAGCTAAGCTCTTGTAGTTTGATTTATTTTGGATCAAGGAAACTGTCTGCAGCGGAATTTCAGGATTTTTGCATAGCGTCTAACGTATACCCAACTCTCATTGTGTACGTCTTTCACTAATCTCGTTGTGGGATTTTCTACCTGCTACCGAACTTACTTCAAACTCGCCCGCGATTCCTCCTTTTTTCACAATTACCGAGTGAAGTTTTCCACTCCTAGGGATTGAGCCTACGGATGGTCATCTGGGGTGTTGTTTTCTTATTTCTCCAATGCGCTTATTGGAAGTTCTGTGATTCTTTTTAAATTACTGCCCCCGTGCATTCGCTATGATTTATGCTAAACTAGTGGTGGAAGGTGTTATTCTTAGTCATCAGACGCCACAAAGGTTGTAATAGCAAAATTTTCGTAAGGATGATTCTAAAATATCAACAGAAGCTTTGACACTACTGTAACAAGTTAAAAGGCTAACCCAGGATTTCGATAGTTGCATATCCTTTAGGGGATTCAATCTTCAGATCGTATGTCATGGACCTACATTCTGGTTCGCCACTGCATCTTCTCTCGCTTTGAAGAGAGACAGGAAATGCTATGCTGCTGACAATGGAAGGCAAATACGATCTTAGGGAACGGCTGGACGCTTAACCATACCATTACAGACAACTGGCGTTTGTCCCTGGCTAATGTCCCAGCTCTGTGGTCTGCAGGTATGACCACCGACCAGAAAAGCTTTTACAACGGTACGTGAGCAAGTGTTACCGCCCTCCCCGCCGTCCTCCCAGTTGGTCAGGTAGAACGCAAGTAGGTATGAGTGAACTAAATTGAAGATGACAAAATGGGTTCAAAAGTCTACTTTCACGAAACTATTCCAAAGTCCGACCTTTGTTGGGCGTCTCTCGTTGGGTCGGTGTTCAAAGAAAAAGCGAGGAAAACGCTCTCAAATAGAGTGAAATCCCAAATCCAGTAGAACTATCAGGAGGGAATTAGGAGAATGCAGTGATACAACTTGTATGGGAAATCAGTGAGTAGAGAATTAGTGTTTTCCTTATGTCGCATTAGCTGTCACTAGGAGCTGACCAAAGGAAGTGCTGAAGATGACGTTCATAGAGGGAGGACTGTGCCATAGATAGGCTATTTGCCTATTTCAATGTCAGTATCAAGCAGCTGAGGGGCTCTGCTATTGCACCGGTCGGCAATCTGGCCTCTGAGGCATGCTAGTGGCCTCCATTCTCGACGCATCAATCGTCTCCATTGCAATCCCAACACCATCGTAAATGTAGGTCATAGCGATGCAAAGAATTTATTTAAAGGTACTTTATTTTCGCTGAAATAACGTCAGTAAAATATAAAATTTGACTCGAACGTTCCCGCAATAAATTCAGATTCATTATGGGGGTTGTGTCTCACAGCACCAAGATTGTCAATTGAAGTTGAACTAACAGGTTGTATGGAAAAGCCCCGCAACAGGGTGTCCACACTCCGCCAGTTTATTGTAAATCTCCATAGCAACTTGCGTCGGTTTAACGATCACAGTGTGACCATCATTTTCAACTTCGTTTATGACGAAGTGGGGTACATGAAGCCATGACATTTTGCCCATACTGAGAACAATAGTTTGCGCTCCCGAGCCGTAGACATCGATGACGTCTTCAAGCGTTATGCCTCGGCGATGACTGGTTCCTAGCCAAAATCAAAATCTACTCAAATAAACCAAGTAACGGTTAAAAGCCTCTCATGTTTGCGTAAATTTTGTAAAACGAAATGCTTGTTTGACCAACATGATTCAGTGCTTCCCCTATCAATAATAGTATTCTAGTTTATAAGCAGCTCGAAATACACGCACAGTATAAAAAAACCATAAATGTTGGTATCACAGAAGGCACCCGATAAAGGGAGATTGGGAGGTAAGCACAAAATCTCGCGTTTTTACCTCGTGCGCTATTTAAAGCCGTTAGGCTGTGAAATTGTCTTGTCAACCTATAGGAGGATAATGTGCTTACAGTGATGGTTTGGCTTGTACGATATAGCAATAATAAACTACCACCAGGTCATAAGGTTACACTGACCCTAACATCCAAGTAGGTGATATGCGTGTTAACAGGACCAATCCGATGAAATACCTGAACAGAAGGCAAGCAAAGCTCAAAAATGGTTCAGTCATCTGGGTAAAAGCGGTATGTTACCTCGTTGTCAAAGATATTATAATTTTACCTTAGAATTCAGTAGCAATCTGAAAGTATATCAGGTCACATGCGAGCAAGGAGGGTCAAAAGGCTCTAGTCACCATCGTTGATGCGCTGCGATAATCATAAGCAAGTCAAATGGAAAGTGCATTTACAAGGACTGTTCACTCACCGTGTTTCTTCCAATCCCAAGACTGACTACCGCCAGGCCAAAGTTTTGCATCCTTGTATTTGATTGTCTCTGAGGTTTTACGGCACCCTGTCTCCTTATCAACCTTCTCCACTATAAGAGAGCCCCACTTAAGCTGGAGGATTCGTGGCGAAGGCAAGGGAAAAGCATTCCCCCGTACCGCACTCAAAGATGGGTTCATGTTCAGCTCCTCCACATAACAAAGTAACCGGCATGCATTTAAACCCACACTGAGTGCGTGTCGAACCAATGAAAATGCTCCTGCGAACCTCACCACCACTGACCAATCAATGTGCACGTTCGGTGTCAAGATGTGAGATCGTTTGAAGTGTGTTCCTAACGTTCTTTTTTTTTAAAAAAAAAAAAAAAAAAAACTAGACCAAAAAACACAGACAACTTGACTTTGCCTAACGCAGTCATGACTGAGAAAGACCAGATAATTTTTAGAACTTTGTCATTACTGGTGTTGATACAAGTGTCAGCGCTACTGCCGCATGAAAACCTTAAAGCGTACTTTTGCAGATGCCGAGGCCCTGTGAATGCGCACGACAGAGCTCAAAGATGGGATGTATTTATAAGACCAATGGGAATCACGTGAACAGGGAGGCACACAACGAGGCTGAGCATCAAGCGTAGGAGTTATCTGGTAGGGTTGTGTCAGGTTTACTGACTACCACCTTCGCACTCGTCATCGAAGCATAACCTGACCAGTGGTTATTCAGGGTTAGCACATGTGACCCAAAAAGGAACAGTGTGAAGAGGTTGCATTTGTTAGAAGTGGTTCTATGCTAAGACTAAATTTAGGAATTCAAATTAGGTATGGGTAAGGAGTGGTGTTCTCTTTAGGCGAAAAGGTGGCAATGACGCAATGCCATTTTAGTGCCGTAAATGTTGGATATCCCCATTTTAATGCAGTCATTTGAATAATCTCATAAATGAAGCTGTAAGTTGATAATGCAGACTTGATTATGCATTTATTGACTTGTAGTTTGGGAAACTTGTTCTTGACATTCAGCAGGAGAGTGGATTCTATGAGTGCAGCTAACTCCATAAGAACTGTCTCCACATTCCAACCTTATACTTGAAGTCTGAAGAAAAAACAGTACAAGAGTCGTAATTGCTATACGTCTTTTGTCTGTCGAACAGTCGGTTTTGTGGAAGAGACCAAATGTGTTGAAATGGTTGTGTGGCTTCTTCTATCGCATTTACTATCGCAATGACGACGGGAGAAAGCGAACTCTACCTCAGCGGACAGTTACCGGAATTTTAGAATTGGCTATAGAGGAATGTACTGCGACCTAAAGAGTCTGCAGACTCCTGTAAGAAGGCCTGAAAATAATACCTTCCTCCAGCAAATTCCTCGATATCACAAAGAAGTGTCACAAGGCACAAGCCATCTGGACTAGTTCGTCACAGAGCTGTCTGCATCAACCCCATAAAATTTACCAAAGGTGCTTCTCTGCCCTTACCAGTTGAGTAAAACCTAGATAGACATGGCTGGACAGGTGTAAAAGGAACCAGCGATAGTAAGGAGAAGTAACCGCACCTTCACACCTCCATAAAAAATGTTCAAGCCCGCTCTTTCTTATACAAGTTCCCCCGCGATTTGTGGTGAGGATCCGTAGCAGACAGCACATTGCCCCTCCCCACTCAACACAAGCTGCGTAGAGACCAAAATGGTGAAACCCGTAAAATTTCGAAGATTCAGTGACACTGCGATCATGCATCTTCTCAGCTGCATGGGAATCCGGTGATTGGCAATGGCTAATCCGCGGGTATTTCTCTTGCAGCACCAATCACGTCGTGACGACTGACATGGGTGAGTGATCAAGGAGAACGATGAGGACGACGATAAAATGAGGAAAGGAGTTGTGAAATGCTGGCTGTACTCCTAGTCTTGATTTCGGCAAGGAAACACCCAAGGTCCAGCCAATGAAATGTCCCCATAACAGAAATCTTTAGAACTACGGCATATCAGTATCGTATATTCTGTTTCAGTGCTGCATCTTTATTTAGGGAAGTCTCCACACACCTCCATACATTAGGGCAGGGATTCAAGAGTCCACATCTCTGCTCCATTGAACAGAAATTTGGACAAAAGAAGTAGTGAAAAATTCCTTTATAAGAGTCTACCTTTCCCCAAGCGCCTCATAAACATCAACTTAACCCACAGCTGTTCGAGCGCTAAAAAAGGTGTTGAACAAAAAGTGTCTGAAAATATGCACCTCTCCATACGATTTTATAACAACAATAATGGGGACGAAAAGTCTCATTGGAAAGTTCGTGTGTGTCGGTTGAACTTTGGCACATCCAAGCGTGTTAAATAGGAGCTACCCTCAATGACTTCCATTTTTACATTTTTATTCGCGCTACTCGTGTCTTGACTCCAACAATGGAAAGGAATTTACCTTCCCACATTTTCACAAATGGTTAGTTTAAATCCAATTATTCTAGAAACGTAAACCTAAGGAAAGGCCAAGGTTTGGTTGTAACGAATTAACATTTACTCAAATTGTAAAGTCAATACACAGACCCTTTCGGACTCCTCAAGGTGGATTGTTGGTGGGATGCCAAGTTTTACTGCCGTGGCTGTCCGATTGTAATGTGACATCCCAAAGTTTTTCTGAGGACGAAGGCCAAACCCTCCGGCAGATAGTGCAGTGATAAAGTCCTTAAGTGGCCCATAATCACAAATGAGTGTTGAGCAAACAGCTAATGTATTACGCCAGTTTCTCAAGTCTTATGAACAGCTCCAACAAGTTAGTCCCTAGCTTGTACACAAAAGGACTCCGAGATCGATCGAGAAACATGCTGCATGACTTTGCAGGCTTAGGTCTGCAAAAAAAACCCCTAATCTCGAAAGTAGACCTCAATGCAGCATTGAATTTCGCGGAATTTCCATCACCCTTATGAACGAACTCATCAACGCATAAAAACACTCGCAAGAGGGAGAAAGTGAAGCCAAAGTAGGCACAACGCAGACCGCAAGCGCTCTTAAAGTACTCAGGAAGAAGCACTGCTTTGTTTTCTTTTGCCGAAATGCTAAACACTTTGTCGCAGTGAAGAAACACCACAGCAAAGATTCACAATAGGTGGGCATGGGAAACTTGGCATTCGAGTAATCTAGATTGTACCAAACAAATTAACAGAAATGCTAACAGGAGCCTAAAAATCAGTGGTCAAAACTCGAAACAATAAAAAGGACATTTATTATGCATAAAAATCAGACAAATTTTAAAGCCGTTTTTGAGAAATGTGTATAAAAAAGTATACAATTTTGAACTACATTTGAAATCAACAGCGACAGTTATAAACATACATTCACCAGGAATCCACATATCTAGAAGGGAATTCAGCCCCTTACTGTCGTTGAATATAGACCAAGTGGGGAATCTCCTTTTCAGAGTCGCCAACGAGACCAGGAAAGACCACATTAGGTTGTAAGATACACACTTTCCAGTGGAATCTTTCACATATCTCAAGAGAAGAGGCTAGATCCACAAAGCTTTCCAAGGTGGTGCCACGTCGAGGCGCCAGAGCGAGAAACGCAGAACCCGAACAGGTGGAGAGGAGATAATCAATGCAGTTGAGAAGTCCTCCGTGGGAAGAGAAGACTTGAGTAGCGAAGAAACAATCAGCTGCAATCACCATGTCAAAAGAGTGGTGCCAATCTCCATAGCTTTCTGGAATGTGGGGCCTGGGAGGAAAAGTCAGAAGCGAGACCTCTCATCACTAACTACAAATGCAAAAAAGGTCTGTGCTCCAGAGTGGTACATTCATTAACACTTTTGGTTTAGGGTGTTTTAAGAATATTCACCGAAGTGCTCTTCTGTTAATAAGACCAACTTTTCGTGAAGAGAATCTCCCAACCGAAAAAAATGTTCCAACTAATTCGTATCAAAGCGATGAT